TATGATTTTAAAAAACTTTTTCAAAAAATGACAAAAAATTAAAATAAATTTTATCAAAAAATTGATATCACATTTTGAAAAAATTTTCACCAAATATCAAAAGAATTTTGAGAATATCTTTAATAACAATAAATAATGAAAATGTCAGTATATATTTATTTAAAATATAATTATTTATTAGAAGGAAAAAAATAAACACATAAAATCTTTTTTTTTTTTTATAGGCTTTTTTTTTTTTAGGATTTTACAGTTTTTTAGTTGATGAGGGGAGATTTAAATTTATTCAAGTCACAAAAGCTTTTATTTAAAATTGAATAAAATGGTGATTCAAAATTTATTTAATATTTTTTTTGATCAAAAAAATTAAAAAATATATAAAAAAAAAATGATATTTTGAAACAATCAAATATGAATATTTCTTATTTACGTTTTATTTTTTAAATATTTCATTTCGTCTTTTTGTTTATTAAAAAAAATAAAGAAAAAATTTTTGTCTAGGATTTTTTAAATATTTGTAAAGATTATGGACAGTGACCAATTATAAATATATATATGTTTAAATTTTGAAAAAAAAAATATTTTCAAAAATTATCTTTAAAAATGACATTTATGATTCTGTTATATTTATTCATCATCTTTTATTAATTGAAAAACAATGTGTTGGAATTAAAATTCCTTAGATAATTACCTTTCACCATTTTTTTTGATTCAATTACAATTTTTATCCTTAAAAAATGAATTTTTAATCCGATGTATTTTATTAATAATCCTTCTATGTATATATTAAATTTTATTGAATAAATACAATTTTAAAAATTAAATTTTCAAAATATACCATGAATTTTAAAATTTTAAAAATATGGAATAAAAAAGAAAAAAAATTAAAAAATCTACAACAAAAAAAATAAAATTTAATTTAATATTTTATTAAATATATTATTAAAATTTCTTTTTGAAATCATTTCAAAGATTTTTTTGGAAAGAGACCTAATATTTTTAAAAAATATGAAAAAAAAAAAAAAAAATAATAAAAAAATTATGAAAGTTAAATAAAAGCACCATTAAATGGTGATGAAAAGGTGAAAAATATAAAAGAAAAGGAAAAACCATTTTAATTTTGAAATTTAAAAAGAAATCCGAGAAATTAAAGGTTTTAAAACAATTTTTTCATTGCTGTTATTTTATGACATTCAAAATTCAATGTTCGAGAATGTTATTTATCATATAATCTTCAGAAATAGATAAATGAAAAAAAATACTTCAAAAATTTGACAATAGAATTTAAACGTTTTGAAATTTGAAGCAAACCGAAAAAATGATAAAAAAAAAGCCATCCATAATCAATCATTTTAAACAATTTTAAGATTATTAAGCCAAATGAAATGTAATCAAAATAAATTTTTGAATTTAAATAAATAACCATTTCAATGAATTTTCAAAAAATGAAATTAAACATTTACATCACACAAAACAAAGTTTTAAAAAAAATTTATATTATATATAATCCGTAAAATTCATTAAAAAAATGTTTTTTTTATTGACCATATGCAAGCATCGAAAAAAATTAATAGAATTGTTAATTATTATAATATATAGCAATATATGTGATTTATTTATATATATCATATTGGTATTTATTTAAAAAAAATTTTCAAATGAATGGAAAATAATTTTTTTGATTTCAAACAATTTTTTAGAAAAAATTAAAGAATAAAATTAAAATTAATATAAGTGTAAAATTGTTCCATATTAAAAAAAATTTTTTTTTTGAATGACCTTATTATTGAATATTGAAGTGATTAGAATAAATATTAAAAATTTTTTTTTTTTGATAATTGTGATTTTTTTTAAACTAAAAAAAATGAATGGAATTTTTAATTTTTATATATTTTTCTTTATCAATTAAATTTAATTTATTATTTTTTTTAAGTTTTCATTTTTTTGCCAAAATTGAACAAACAAAGATATGAAATTATATATATATATATATATATATATATATATATATATATTTATATTTATAAAAAATAATATTAAATTGAATATATATATATTATATAAATATTTATATAAATTATAAATTATATTATATTTGTTATATAGAATTAAAAAATGAATCAAAAAAATAAAAAAATTTATATTAATTTATTTGTTTATAAATATATTATAAATATATATATATTTTATTATTCAATATATTATATATAAATTAAATATATATATATTTTTAAAATATATTTTTTATATATAAATATATATATAATTTTTGAAAAAATTATTTAAAAACCATTTATTAAAAATCATATTTATATATATATTATATTATATATATAATGATATATATATATATAATGGATATATAAATATATATATATATATAAATATATATATATATATGGAATATATATATATATATATATATATATATATATATATATATATAAATATATATATCAAATAAAATAGAAAGCAAAAACATTCATAATACTTAGAATTTTAGAAAACTTGGAGATCTAGTTTCCATTTTTCAGAAATAAATTTAAAAAAAAAAAATTTACTTCAAAACAAAATCAATACAACACACTTCTAAAGAATATTTAAATTTGTGATGAAATATTAATTAAATTTAATATTTAAAAATAGAATTATTTTTTTAAATCAATTCCGAAAAAGAGGTTTTAAAAAGGAAAAAATTTTTTTTAATATATATATTTAAAAATGAAATTAATATATTATTTATTAAAATTTGACCTTATATATATATATATTATATATATATATATATATATATAATATATATATCGGAAAAAAAAAAGTATTTTTGTAAGTTTTTCATAAAAAAGAATACAAAAAAAAAAGATATATCCATAAAGAGATTTCAATATTTTTTATATGAGTAAAATGATAGAAAAAAAAAAAAAAAATCACACACATATATTAAAATGATCCGATAATATAAATTTTTTTTAAACTCAATAATACTTATGTCCATTAGACTGGGAACAAAAAAAAAAAATTTTCGAAATAAATTTATTAAAAGATTTTTGAGATTTTTTATATAATTTATATATATATATATATATATATATATATATATATATATATATATATATATATATAGGCAGGATGTGTGTGTGTGTGTGTGTGTGTGTGTGTAGAAATGTACAAATTTCAATTTTCGACGGATTTAAAAATTTAAGATTGCAAATTTTTATTAGCAGGAAGGCCAAGACTTTGTTCCAATCCCATCGATAGTGGAAATAATCGATTTTTCATGCTTCTACGGCAGTTTTCATTTAGTTTGCGGCCATTTTCTACTGGCCAGAATATATACTAATAGCTGGCTGCCACGAATAGGCAGTTATTAAAGATTCTATTGGCCAGCGTGAGAGCCAACAGCTGACTGACACGAATGTTTAATAGCATGCTAATAAAAAAAAATCGATAGCTGCATTCGTCACAAGTGGGAAAAATTTAAATCTGCATGGCACTTTACTCCAATTGGCTCATTCGCTTGCTTAAACTCAACGTTGATTCTGATTCCGCAGAACTGGGTTGGGTGTGAAAAAGTATTTTTTGTTAACATTCTTTTTTCATTCGGTTTTTCCAGTTACGAGTCCTTTTTAAAGCTGATCGTTTTGTGTTCATTTTGTTTAGTTTTTTTTCGTAACAGATTTAATGTTTTATATAGCTTAGAAAAAAATTCGCAGTGTGAGATAGGCAAGAAGTAAGGCATGTAGCAACATCAGCACGAAAAGGGCATTCTGTTTAAAGGCAAGGAAAAAAAAAATATTTTAAGTATAGTGATAGCGATTGCTGTATGAGTGGTAAATTTTTTGAATCAAGCACGGGCAATATAGAGCCACAAATCTATATATATATATATATATATATATATATATATATATATATATATATATATATATATATATATATTATAAAAAAAGAAACAGTAAGATATATAATCCGGTGTTTTATTGATTTTTTTTATTTTAAAAAACAGTGCTCAATAACAAAAAATTTATAGCATAAATATTATAAATTAACTGATTTAAAATATTTTAAATCAGTTAATTTATATATAATTATATATATATACATATATGTGAAGAATATAAAAAATATGTGCATATGTGCTCACGTGTGAGTGTGTGAGAGAAAGAGAGAAATGTTTCATTTATATACAAGTTAGATAAATGAAAGTAACTTAGGGTAAATGTCTGAGGGAAGAGAAAAAAATTGACAGTAAGTGAAATAAATAAAACGAAAGAAAGAAAGAAGGGAATTGAGAAAGAAAGAACGAACGACAGAAAGAAAGAAAGAAAGAAAGAAAGAAGCAGAAAATAAAGAAAAAACGACAAATGAAAAAATGAAATAAGAAAAAGAATTCAAGAATGGTAGGTTCATTGTTTTTATTTACCGATATATCAATCATTATGTGTTATTTAATACCAAATTCTGAATATTTTGTACGTAATTTTATGCTGGTGTATGTTTTTTTATGCAGGTGTATGAAAAAAAAGGACAAGTTGGTTCATTAGGTAATAAAATGTAGAAAAAGAAATTTTGGAAAATAAAATATTTTTAATGTTAAGTGGGAAAGAATTTAAAAGACAAAAAAAGAAATAAAGGAATAAATTAGAAAACAGGGAAATAAAAAATTCAATTTTGGAAAGGAAATAATTAATAACATTATTAAGGAATAAAGGGATGTTGGAAAAATTATTATTAAAGATAAAAGGAATGAAATGATTGAATAAAGAGAAAGGACAAGGGAATTTTGAAGAAGGACAAATCCACAAAATTTATTAATAACTGGGTAAGGAATAAAAGGAAGCTTTAAAAGAAGAAAAATTTTGAAAAAAAGGAATGAAATTTTGAATTAAAAAAAGGAAGGACAAAAAAAAATTAAGGAAAAAAGAAATGGAAAGAAATTTGCATTTTAAGGAATAAATAGGATTTAGAAAGAAGGAGATATAAATAAAAGGATTGAAATGATGTCAAATAAAGAGAGGACAAGGGAAATGAACAAATGGTAAAAGTAGAAATGGAGAGTAATTTTGATTTGAAGGAATAAACTTTTGGGCAGAAAGAAGGAGAGTAATGATAAAAGGAATGAAATGATTGAATAAAGCCGGAAGGACGAGGGAAATGAAGGAGAGTAAATAGAAATGGAGAGTAATAACTAAGTAAGGAATAAAAAAGGCGGGAAAGAAGGAGAGTAATGATAAAAGGAATGAAATGATTGAATAAAGCAGGAAAGACGATGGAATTGAAGGCATTTCTATTAGAAATGGAGAGTAATAACTGTTGGAATAAAAAATTGGAAAGAAGGAAAAATGAAAAAAAGGAATGAAATGATTGAATAAAGCTGGAAGGACGAGGAAATGAAGGAAAGTAAGAAGAAAAGAAAGTAATTCTTTATCAAGGAATAAAAGGAAAAGAAAAAGGAAAGTAATGATAAAACTTGAATGAAATGATTGAATAAAGTATAGGTGGAAATAGGGAAAATGAAGGAAGTAAATAGAAATGGAAGTTTTTTAGTAAGGATTAAATATTTCTTTTAGAAAAATTTTTAATGATTTTTACAATTTGAAATGATTGAAAAAGCTGAAATATTGTTTAAAGGTTTAAGCTGGTTGTTTGAAATTTAGAAAAATATTTCAATTTTAAGGAGGAAATTTAATCAGAATCTTTAAGAAAAAATTCTAAAAATAAATGATTGAATTAGAAGGACATCGGTGAAATGAAATTTTAATTTTTTTTGACTAAATTTTAGAGACTAATAAAAAAAGAAAAAAAAAGGAATGAAATATTATTAATGAAAAAGGAAAAAATGATTGAAAAAGTAGGAAGGAGGGAAATGAAGGAGAAATAAATAGATTTGGATATAATATAAAAAGGAAGAAAAAAATAGGAAGAAATTTTCCAAAAAAGAAGGAAAAATTAAAATTATCAAAAGGACTTGAAATGAAAAAATAAATAGAAATGGACATTATTTGGAAATAAAAATAAATATTAAATTTGGAAAACATAATGAAAAGGAATGATGATTTTATTTTTTTGGAAGGAAAAAGAAAAATAAATATTTTGAGTGACAGAAAATAAAAAAATGAAAATAAAAAAAGAAATTTATTTAAATTAAATATATATAAATGAAATGATTAAACAAAACAGGAGGGATTGAAATGAAGGAGAGTAAATAGAAATGGAGAGTAATAACTGGGTAAGGAATAAAAGGAGGCAGAAAGAAGGAGAGTAATGATAAAAGGAATGAAATCAGAAATTGTTGGAAAAATGATTGAGAAAAATTTAGATAATTTTTATGGATTTATACAAAGGAGAATGATAGGACAAAGAAACGGAGAAATTAGATGAATGTTAAGAAAAAACAGCATAAGAAAAAATAAAAGAAAACTCGAATTTCATAAATGAAGATAACAATATTGATAAAATGAATAAAACATTTTGAAAAAAAAAGTAAAGAAGATTCGACTGGTGAAAGAATAAATAATAGAAAATGTAGTAAAAATCAATGCAAAAAATGCAGAAAAAAACAAAATAAAACAAAAAGAAACAACAAAAATACAGGAAAAAAAAAACAATCAAAAAAAGAGTAAGAGAGATCTGACAAAAAAGACAGAGACTTGTTGTATAAAGCTGGCCAATCTTAAGGAGCACTTAACCAGAATTGAAATGAGTTAATATCTAATGGTGATCGTACAAAGGATATTATTTTTCAGTTTATTTTTTTAAGGGAGGGAAAACGATAGAAGAAGACCATTACGAAACGATTTTTTCATTTCAGATATCAATGATATAATGAATCAGGATTATATAAGGAGAATTTGGAGTTTTATTAAAATATATTGCCAAATTATTGGACGATATAAACGAATCGTCCATTTATGTCGACAAAAAAAAAAAAAAAAAAAAAACAACAAAAATACAAAAACATCCGAACCGAAAATCTTTCAGTTTTGATCGGAATTTAAATATGGCTTTGAAAATGACGGAAAGCATTCTTTTAAAGAGACTTTCTTCGTCCAACATTTCTTCAGGAAGATTCGTTGAAACCAAGAATAAAAAAAAACCCTAAACGCCGAAAGTGAAAAAAAAGTAAAATGGTGGGGGTAAGTAAGGATCCACGACTAAAAATAAAAAAATTTAAAAAAAACAAAAGAAAGTGAATATAATAAGTTCAAAATTTTACATATACACACACACACACACACACACACACACACACACACACACACACATATATATATATATATATATAAACATAAAACATTAGGCAACATATGATTTACATACAAGAATTAATCACACATAGTATTAATCAGAATATCAAATTAGCACTATGGATGAACAATTTTTAATGCATATATCAAATGTTTGCATTGCATTGACGGATGATTTAATAATCGTTTTATTTAAACATATGACTTAATTCTATAATGTAAAAAATTGAATATTTATATATATATATATATATATATATATATATATATATATATATATATATATATATATATATACAAAACATTTCTCAGCATATGATTCAACATACAATAAATTAATTATTATAGAATTAATCAGAAAAGTATAGAACAGAGGACAACGAAAATATATGTATTTTTGTATCCGAAAATATGATATTGAAAATGAGTTATTGTTTTTTGGATAGCGCCACATAGCAACGCTGAGTTTGATTTTAAATTTTTTAAAGTTTGAATTATATATAAAATATGGTGATGAACAATATTTTTACTGGTAAATTTTTCTGTCAAAGTGGCATGAACTATATTGTTCAATAATTACAGTATATATGCACTTATTATTAAAAGTCGCACTTGATCAGTTATTTAAATTACGATAAACGTGCAATCAATTTACAAATACATGAATTATTCACACAAAAACTAATGCAAAGGTTAAAATCAAACTCAGCGTTGCTTCTGCGCGTTCCAAAAACAATAACTCATTTTCAATAGCATTTTCGGATACAACAATACATATATTTTCGTTGTCCTCTTATTACTAAGAGAAAAAACAAGAACAACATCTATTCTATACCTGAAGATGTCTGTAGGAACAGACGAAAGCTTGTAGTAAAAATAAGAACTAATACGGCAGAAATTTATATAAACAAGGATCATTTCATTCATAACGGATTCGGAGGTTTTTGTATATTATTTGAATTGTTTGCGATGATGGATGTCTCGCCATTTAAATCATTAACCTTTGCATTAGTTTTTGTGTGAATAATTCATGTATATTATATATATATATATATATATATATATATATATATATATATATATATATATATATATATATATATATAGGTAACTATATTTGTTTTAAAAAACCTTCGAATTTTTTGATTTGCCAATAATCAAATCAATCACGAAGGAAAAAAGGTTTTAAAAAAAGAAAGAGCTAGAAACATGAAAGTCTGAAAAAAAAATCGCACAAATACAGGTTTGAAGCCCAAAGAAAAAAAAACCGATACGAGTAAACAACTAACTAACAAAAGAGCTCAATACAACCGTAAAGCGTGAGACCTAGCTAAACCTAGTGAGCCAGACAAACCTACCCAGGTTTCATAAGCAGATTGTCAGATTTCAAGGTTTATAAATAATATATATATATATATATATATATATATATGAAAAATATTGTCTTAAGGTGTGCTATATTTATGGGATAAAATATTGATATCAGAGATATATATAGTATATAAATAAAAGTATATAAGTCAACACTTAGAGGCCTAGTTTGTTTCATGAATAGATGTAATCGTCAGGCACATATATATATATATATATATATATATATATATATATATATTTGAAGTTTTTAAAATTTCCGAATAAGTTGGTTTATATAACCGGTAAAACTCTTTAAAATTGTGTTTTTGCTTTGAAAAGGAGAAGAACTATTTCGAAACCTGCTACATTTATTGTCAAGGATTTCGTTTTGTCTTTTTTATTTAACTGTTTTTTTGTTTTTTTTTCATATATTCTTGGTTCTTTTTTTTTTTTTTTTTTTTTTGATTTCTATTTTCATTTTCGAAAGTAAAGTTCCAGTAACAGCCATTCCGTCTCGTTTCTGAAGCACATGAAACAACCAGAACGATTCCTTCCACTGTCTTTAGATTTCCTGGTGTTTCTTTAAGACTAAGCCATTTCTTTCTGCATCCAAATTATTTATCCTCCCAATAATCGCATCTATAAAATGAAATTTTTGCATTTTTTGCAATGTCGCGAATTTATAAATATATATATTCACATTGATAGATTATTCAAAAAATTAAAAAAACATACCTTTCTGCGAATATTTTTAATTTTAATGCAGAATTAATTTTAAAAAGCAGAATTCTTTCTTGCACGTGACGATAGAATTCTATAGATGAAAATTCTTAGATTTCACTGCGTAACACGATTTTTATCCTTGGGTAGCAATTGTTATTTCCTATTTGCTTACGGCTAGAAAGTATGACAAATAGCTAATATCTCCTTCAAAGTTTGCTTTTGTAACAAGGTTAATGGTATTTCTGAAATTTACCTTTTCTCATTTGGAAAACTGTCAAATGGGAATATTCCTGTTCAGGCAAAGTAAGAACAAAACGACATATAATTCAAAAGTGGCATTTATTTATTCTAGGATTACACAAGAGAGACTATTAAAAAAAATTACAAGCGAGCAGTTTTCATGATTTAAATTAAATTCCTTTCACGCATCAGCCCCCAAATATAACCTCCTGTCATGTTTTTGTTAGACGATCCTTGGTAGTTTGGTTTGTTTTGTTTTACGGCATATCAACACCTCAATGGGTTATTTAATGCCGACAACATTTTTAGGATAGATTCATATAAATAGAATATATATTCTTTGGTTTAGTTTGGTTTATTCTTTTTTACGGCATATCAATCTCAATGGGTTATTTAATGCCATTTAAAAAAAGAATATATTAATATGTTTTTTCAGAAAAATCTAATTCTAAATATTTAATATGAAGAAATCTAGAGCTGGCCCATGAATTTTTTTTCAAAGAATGTATAGATTGTTTGTATTGTTGGTATTTTTTTTTTTATTGCTGATAATAATTTTTAAAAAAAATTATTGTTGGTATTAATTTTTTTTTTTTTGGAAATTATATCTGGATTAAAACCTATTTTTACACAAGTTTGGATTTAAATATTTGTTCACAGCTACTATTTAAATATTTGCTTTTTACCTGGTCAAGGTCTGGGTGGACCTGGGAACACCAAAACTGAAGGTGGTTCCACGCTCTGAAAACTTCCTTGCTGTTGGATTAGTTTATCGTCATACCCAACACGCGGATGTAATTTATCGTCATACTCAGATCCTTGGTAGCGATGAGCATCTAGGATATGAACCTTGAGAGGCATCCTGAGTTCCATTTTGTCCTAGTTTATTCAGAAAAACATTTCAAGAAACATGATAATACTTTTCAGAAATTTTGTTTGTTCCCCAGGAAGCCCCGAACCACTGTGACAAAGCTGTTTCAAACTGCTGTCTCTGTCCTCGTGAGCTTTTTGGGGAATTATTGGCACTCATGTCTGTGGGAAGAGGGAAGAAATGACAAAGATAAATGAACGATCAAGTAAAAGAAATAAAATGAAAGACAGACAGAAAGAAATGTGATGTGGCTTCCCTCTGTCTTTTCTACAAATATTTTCATTGCAACTACTCTTTTCCCTGCTGCCTCGACTATATGAATTTAAGCGTACTACTAGGTTGGCATCTCAGTCCCAACCTTTTACTGTTGAAACAGTTAAATGTTGTTATGGTCCGGTTCCTTGTACCACGGTGATAGTCCAAGGTAGAACCAATAAAGAATAACTCGAACACAGATATGGAATAACACAGATATATTACAAACGGAAATATATACAGAAAAGTAGAAGTGTTAGTCTGAACAATCAGGTTTAGTAGGGAGAACAATATTATTATTACTATTCCA